TATGGCCATGGATGTCTCCGCCACCTGCGACATTAGAGAGATTTCGCAAGTCATTCCAGTCCTTATCCATACCGCCAAGTGCCAGCTGTTGACAAAACAAGAAGTCTCCCTTTGAAACTTGTTATGGAACCTGCAGAAGCCGATTGATATTCTGCATACTGGAGGAGTTTTATGGAACGATTCCATTCCGCAGAAGTTGCCTAAGAGTACATGTCGACCAAGCCCAAGCGGCGAAACTACACCGACGAGGAGGACCTTATGCTCCTTCGTCAAGTAGCATATGAAATGCCCTTTCTGGCCCGTCACGGGCTCATAATGGACAAGTGGGCGTCGGTGGCGCAGGCGCTTGCGGCCGACGAGAACTTCTCTCGTCCCGATTTCGATGCAAAAAAGGCCAACAACCGCTTTGCAGCCCTCCTCGATGCTCACAAGAAGAGGAACAAGGAAGCTGAGCAAGCGTCTGGGGTGTCAGAAGAAGTGACAGAGAAAGTGACGCTGTTGGACGACTTGCTGGCCGCATTCGAGGACGCAAAAGAGGAAGAAGCAGCACGTGCTGCAGAAACAAAGAAGGCCATGGAGGCCAACGAGCAATTGGGTTTGGTGGTGCGTGACGAGGCGATGCAATCCCTTGGTAAGCGAAAGCGGGGCGTAAACGAAGACGATGCAACAACTACTTCTGGGGGTGGTAAGATCATGAAAGTGATCTCAATGCTGCACGAACAGTCTGTTTCAGAGCTCACATTCCAAAGAGAAAAGTTCAATCGCGAAATGGAAGAGCGCGAAAAGGACCGCCAGGTTCTCACTGAACAAATGCGTCAACAGCATGAATCGACCTTGAAACAACAAGAGGCTATGCTTAAAATCATGAATGCCATGGTAAACAAATTGCAATAAAGTTCATGTTAAATGACAACAACTTCGAGTGTGTCCAAATATTCTTTGAGTGTTGGAGGATCGAGATCAAAAAATTGGCTGATTTGATTTCCACGAAAATGGCAACAATGGCAATTCGTAAGTAGCATTGCAATGGAAACAATTTTTGCGACGGGGGATAGTTGGATCTTGGAAAGCATTTTGAACGTGATAAATGACCAAAGGGTCTTCAAAATCTTGAAGTTCCACTCCACGGATTGGCGAACACGGCTCATCCACTTGTTGAACTCCTGCTTCAGTGGACCAATATTGTTGCCTTTGTAGCCCGACAAAAGATAATCAACAATACCGTAAGCAGGGTCGCCATAAATGAATTTGGACAAAAACAATTCACGGTGTCGATGAAGAAATGGAAGTAGTTGACTGTGGCGGAGCATTGTAGCGTCGTGACGACGCCCTTCCATGGGCCCAAAAAAATGGACACAAATACCGTCAGGACAGGTGACTGCCTGGTAGTTCAAACAATGAAATCTCTTGTGGCCACTGTATATTTGGCGCTGCAAATTTCTGCCATCGCCAGAGGACTCAATTCGGCAAGTCTGAATTTTCGTGCCATCAATAAATCCATACACATTTCCCAAAGGAGATCCTTTACGGGCGACAGCATTGCAATATCTAACGAGACATATCAATAAATATTGTCAACATTTTTCCAGTACCTCTCCATGTTTTTTCTCACAAGTCGTAGGTTGAAGTAAAGTAGATTGCCCCAAAGATCATAAAGGATGCCAATGACATGAAGGAAAATATCGCAGAGTGCTGTGCGAGAACGACCAAACGTTTTTGACATGTCATGGAGTCGAGTTGGGAAGGCCAAGCGTCCTAAGACGATACACATTGCCTCATCACGATGGGCACGTTTGCGCTCCTCGGTGACAATGATTGCGGGCAAGCCAAGATGAAGTCCAAGCTGGCGAATACCGTCGACGTCGAATCGGTAGTCCAAAATTGCGTTTGCATCGCTCAGGGTGCCCAAGTCGAGGCGAATATTCGGAATCAACGGTCGCTCCACAATCTGAGATGCCATTATGGCAAGTAGCAGTCGTCGCTGTCGTGCATTTCGGACCATAGAAGCAAGCGCAAGGATATCTGTCTGCGAAAAGGCCATCGTTGCGATCAGAGTCACCCTAATGTCTGGAAATAGAACTTGCGAAACCAATTTTTCAAATTCCAGTCACTATCCGTTCAGCGACAGATGTCACAAAAAGGCGCTATGGATAATGAATGGAATGGTTTGCGAAATCTCTCTA